AAATAAACTCTCAGTTGTATGAGGGCTTTGCATCCACACTTCCGTGTGGCTACCAATTTCCCCTGCAAGAAGGCCCCTTCCTCTGTCACATCCAAGAAGACTTGTGTATCATTTGCTTTCCATGTGGCTGGACAGGTAAGAGGGAAACAAACTAAATACAGTCTTTTCCATCAGGCTGAGGAGATGAAGAGCTGTGGTCTTTGGACAGAGGCCTCCGGGATTCAGGGAGGGTTATTGAGCTGAGGCTGCACGAAGTTGGAGCTATGCTTTGGTAAGAGATAAAAAGTGCCACATGTGCAAATTAATAAGACATCGTGGGCACAGAGACTCAATGTTTCTGAATGTTTGAGCTAAGAGCATTTTTATGCATAATAGCTCTTCTGCCTGGACACTTTTCCTAGCATAGCCATTACTTCTCAGAGAGCTATCCCTCCATCCCCTTGCTACCTGAGTTAGTCTTGTCCTACCCCTCAGTTTTCTTTCCCAGCCTTTACTCAAGTTTTGCAAGTTTTAATTTGCATCCATAAAAGTGGCAAGATCCATTTTCTTTTTATTTGTTTTTTTACTCCTGTATAATGCTGAAGACAAAGTACACAGGACAATGCATTCTGGCAAGCAAGGAAGGTTGTGGATCGTTGCCTGAACTCCAGTTTACTGAAACAAAAGGCACATGGGTTTCCCAGCTCTGGGTGAGCTGGGAGAAAAGCCCTGGAGGACACCGAGGGAGAGATTGGTCCACGTGATTAGGCCATCCGTGTTTGCTGGTTGGCACTTACTGAAGTGAAGTTTCTACCCTTCCGCAGAGACTGGGAGAGAGGGGTGTTACCTATTGATGACTACATTGCAAAAGGATGGTTCTCAGGTCCTTGAGAAGGGCATTCCTGGGTTGTAAAACCGCCAGAGACTGGAAGAACAGTGACGTCTCCAAGGAACTTTATTTCCTGAAAAGTTAAATCAGTAGATTTCCAAAGTAAATGCTTTAAGAAAACGGAGGCCAGGGCCCTCCTAGTAAGGAATAAACCTGTCTAAAATGCAGTCAAACTTAGGGGAAGTTAAGCACTTCCTGGTCAGTGATTCCCCTCACAGGCTATGTTTTCCCCCTGAGGTCCTGGCAAAGGTCCAACAAACACTAGATGTATTTCATTTTCAAATAACATCAATATCTGTGTCACTACATTAAGTTACCATCCATTTCCTTTTCTAGACTATGAGCTCTCTGAGGTCAGGGGTCATGCCTTTCTTGTTCATTAGTGAAAACCTAGCAGTGACTGCTTGCTTCTAGCATGGATTCAGTAAGTGCTACAGGAAGAGAGAAAGAAAGAAAGAAAGAAAGAGAAAAAAAGAAAAAAGAACAGACGGATAGATGGATCGGCAGGTGGATGAAGCAGCACGGATGACTTATGGGTTGGCTGATGTGAAGCAGTGAAGATGCTGGGTTGAGAACAGAGCGAACAGTTAGGGGCCCTAGGGAGAGGAGGAAGCTGTCCCATGGCGTTCTCAGGAAGTCGGGGCTCTCAGTGTTTGGTCTCTGATGGAGATGAATAAGGAGCCCTGCTGGGGCTGGAAGAAATCTACATGCGCAGAGTACACCTTTTACCTGGCCTCTGTTTGATTTCTAACAAGCCCCAATGATCCAGGGGTCCTGAGGGAAACGACAACATGTGCTCTTTTAAGTTTATTTAGAAGATAGAGCTGCATGGAGGTGAGCCCCGCCCCCCCTCCAGGCTACCCCACGGGCAGATGGATGCTGGTGCATGTAATTACTTTCAGGGTCAAAGCCATGCAATCAGCTCTTTTGTTGGCAGCCTTCACTGAATAGGTTTATTGAGCGCCTGTGGGTGATTTGTTCCAGCGCTGAAGTCATTGTCCAATCAACCATGGGTTCCCTGGGGGAAGGTGGTTTGAAGGGAGCATCCTGAGTGTTTGTGATTAAGACTGGATGGCCTCCTTAATTAACTCAACACACATTTATTGAGCACCTACTGTGTGTTGGGCTCTTTGGCAGGCCTCTGTGATGGCTGAGAGTTCTTGCTCTACAGAACCTCTGGGCTGTGAAAGAGGATGGACAGGACAATGCTCTACACTCATCCCAGGGCCTTCAGAAGGAAGCTTTGAGTACAGCCTGGGGAGACAATGGTAGGAATGAGGGTGGGGTGGGGAGTAAGCACGAATGATGCTCAAAGGTCAGCCTTCCGTGGAAGAATTAAAGTGGAAAGCTGACCTACACCGCTGTTCAAATAGAGGACTTGTAGACTTAGATGCAGTAGGGAAAATAGGAAGAAAAGGAGCGGTGGACAAAAGAGAACACCAGATCATTTAGGGCCTTGTAGGCTCAAGCAAGGAGTTGAGAGTTTTATTTTAAGGACCACAAGGTACCAGTGAAGATTTTAAGGAGTGATAGGATCAGACAGCGCCTGGTGCAGAGTAAGTGCTCACTAAATGCTGACTGCTGCTCTCATTAGCTGTTCCTCTGGCTGTGGCATGGAAGGGGTTGTGGTGGGGTCAAGGTGGGTGTGTGACAACACGGGGGAAGCTACTGCAAAGGTCCAAGCCACAGATGAGGATTGTCTTGCTTGGGTTACCAGTTAGAGGGATGAGAGGAGGTTAGATTGGCAGGACTTGATGAATGGCTGAAAAGTTGGGTGGGGGAGCGGGGAAGACAAAGGGAAAAAGTGAGGATGGTGTGCAGGCTTGGGAGGATGAGTGTGAGGATGAAGCCATTCTTGGTGTTGCAGCAGGGATGAATGGGGCAGATGGGAGGATCATCTTTTCACGCTGAATTAAAGAGAAAGAGGAAGTGTCCGATATGCTGTTTGGTCTGTGGTGCTGCAGCTTTATAGGGTCTGCCTTTGGGGAGTGGGAGCTGTTTTTATTTCCACATCATATTGATTTGATCCTAAGTTTCAAGCACAGCATTGAGAAGCTGGCCCATAATCAACTTAGAGTTCTTTTAGGCACTGAGATAGGCATTCAAGTCGAGGAAATTTACTTTGCAAGTGGATGTTGCAGAGGAGGAAAACTCCCTCTCCATGCCCCTACATCTTCAACTGTGGTCCTGACAAAGGACATTTAACAAGAGAAAACAAACACAGGTTTATGAATTCGTCCATTGGTGTGTGTTTGGGAGACCAAGTGATGAGTAGCTCAGGGGTAGTCAGAGTTTGAGCTTCCATAGGACCCGAACAAAGAACAGTTCATCTATAGAGACATGATCAGGCAGAGGAAAAGGACTCTGAGTTTCTAGGAGCTACAAGTTATGAGCAGACAAATATAGGGGGAAAGTAATGGCAAGTATGGGCTGGTTAGTAAAGTTAGTGTGTGTTAACTGTGTCTCGTGCCTTCTCGTCTCTGGTGCTAAGGCTGTTACCACTTCCTGGCACAGGAGTGGGAGACACCTTCATAAGGGAATTTACGTTCTGCTTTCAGACAGATTGTGGATGGCACAGAGCTCATCCTATGCTTACTTTTTCTTAATTCAAAACAACCCTGACGTCGGAGTGGCGTATGGTGGGATGGCATACTCTGAACCTCTTCAAGATCACACAAGTTCAATGAAAAAGGGAAGGAAAGGAGCCATCAACCTGTGTTATTGAGCCAGCAAGCAGGATGGTTTAATCCTGTGGAGGAATTTGGGGAAATAATGCAAAACATATGCCTCGGAGAGCTCCCTTACAAGAGCTGAGGAGGTGGGATATTTATACACTGACTCTCTTAGTCTTTGTGGAGAGCAGCTCCTGGAAGTGTTCTTTCCCATTTGGCCTGCCATTCACTGCTTAATTTTATGTCAGACTGGCAGGATTATCTGCAGCCTTCAAATAAAACATAGTTGAGATTAGAGATAACTATGTTCATGGCATGGGAAAGTGGGACATAACTATAACCAACCTGTCAGCTATCAAGTCCATGTCTCACTGAATTAGGTTCATATGTTTGTTAGAAATGAACATGTGACCAACTAGTATGTACTAAGTTTCATGGTAGGTACTTTACACATGTGATCTCATTTAATCTTGATAATACAAACTCTGTAAAATAGATGTGCTTAGACCCGTTTTGTAGATGAAGAATGTAGAGACTGACTTTGGTTGAAACAGTTTATAATTGGTAGAACCAACTTTCAATGCATTTTCTTACCTCTACCTTTTTTTTCCTCCTGGCAGGTGGAAATTGTAAGAGCAATCGGAGCTCAAACAGTTGGTATATATTTGTATCCAACGTTTATTGAAGTTTCCGGGTCCATCTAGTTCTTACTGTCAGGGCTTAATAAGTTCTAAATAATAATGATTTTTCCCCTTGGATGAGTATAGATGCTTCTGTCAGCTGAGGCTGATTTCCACCTAATTTGCAGGGAATTTATGCTGCACAATGATGAGCTAAATATTTATGCAGGGAGGATGTATGTACAAATCACATTTCCATAAGAAACACAAGGCAAATGAGAGTTTCCCACAAAAAGTTTATTGATGGGAAAAGATGCTTTAGAGAATTAAACATTAGCCAGGATTAACCAGCATTATCCAAGAGTTAGCCATATTTAGGCAATTTAGCTTTATGCCAGAGAAGTGTCTTTATGAAGAGTTGCCGAGGATTACTGGAGGAGGAATTGTTTATTGACCCTCTGTATTTAGGGGGAAAACTTGGAAATATAGAATAGCTTTTTCTCTGAGCAATGAAGCTGTCTTGCTGGATGACCATGGGCCTCTTTATGAACCTCAGTTTATGAAATCTTTACCTACTGGATAGGATGGGGTATTGTTTAAGACCCTGGCCACCCTGTCTTGTAATTCTGTGTGCCTTAACTACCCATGGGTCTCTGTCTTTTTACTTGCAATGAGAAACAAGCTGTTGACCTTGGACTACCAGCCTTCATACTAAGAGAAAAGAGTCAACATTTAGACTATCTGTGGGATACACCAGGCACCTGCCATGTGTTTTATGTAAACCAGGCTCATTTCTCCTCATAGCAGATCTGTAGAATGGGTTTTCTTTCCATTTTATAGCTATGAGCAAATGAGATGTAAGTGAAGGAGCAACCACTACTTTTGGGGCCACATTTCAAGCTGTCCTACCTCATCTGTATAAGTTCAGCACAAAGATTTTTAAAGGTAAGTGGTTTTGTTTTGAGTTGACTACCAGGTGGGTACCACAGGGCAAAGAGTGTAGGACTTGGGGTTGTATAGGCCTGGGTTCAAATTCTGCCTTTCCAGTGTACCAGCTGTGTACCTGGGCAGGTCAAAACAGCTCTCCAGCCTTGTTTCCTCTTTTGCACATATGTACCTATGAGCTACATGGAGTAGGGCTATGATATGGATTATAGAAGAAGTCATCCTGCTCTTTGGTCCCAATTTGAATAGTTGGTCATTCTACATTTCCCTCCAAGGTCCTTCTCTGATAGCTACATTCACTGCTTTCCTGGTACAGGAAGTAGCTCTGGTGTGCTCCTGTTTTTCCCCCATCCTGGCTTCTTTGAGCCTCTCTGCCTCACTTCTGCTATGTGTATGGAACATGGCTGGAGATGTGGGCTCAAGCTCCAGTAATATGAGTTCCTACTTGTGTGATCTTGAGTTAGTCATTCAGTTTCTCTGAGACTCTATTTTTTCTTCTGTAAAGGGGGGGGTGATGTTAGACTTTATTCAAGACTTTTATAGTTGATTAAAGACCAAAATGTTGAACTTAACTGCATGCTTTGTTCTGCCCCAGGGAATGATCTCATTCCTTTGAATGAATTCTTTGGTGACCCTAAGAGATTCTGGGATAAAGAGATTATCTTAGTCCAATGTCTGTTACTATAACTGAGTACCAGAGACTGGGTAATTTATAAAGAATAAGGGCTTATTAAACTCATGGATCTGGAGACTAGGAGTTCCAAGGTCAAGGATCCACATTTGGCTAGGGCCTTCTTGCTGGTAAGGACCTTCTTGGTGGTGGAGACGCTCTGTAAAGTCTTAAGGCAGCACAGGGCATCACATGGGGGGAGGGGTGTGTATAAGAGATAGAGCCAGACTGACTTGCATAGTAGACCCACTCTCAAGATAATTCATTAACCAGTGAACCCATGAATTCATGAATGGATTACTCCCTGCGTGAGAGCAGAGCCTGCATGACCTAATTATATTTTAAGGACCCCACCTGGTCCTAACTCTTAATACCTCCCAATTGGGATTAAATTTCAATCCCAGTTTCAGCTGGGACATTTATCCCATAGTACAGTCTGCCCCCCATCATTACAGAAGGACATCTGAGCCAGCTGGCCCGTGGCTATGAAGATTCAGCTGCCGTGAAAGCATATAAATGAGAAACCTCCTTCAGATGTTGCTGTAATAAGACTTACTTTTGCCTGGCTGAGGTAGACATTTAAATTGAGTGCATCTCACTGAATATTTACAAAACTCTGCCTCCAGGCGCAGCCTCCTGAGGTACTAGGACCAGCAAGTAGCTGCACTGAGATCCAGAGCCGGGTCTGCTCTGGGCCCTTTTGCTGTGCCCACGGCCGCTTTCAGACCCAGCTCTGCTTGGATGTAGCTTTGCCACCACCAAAACTACAACCTTCCAGTCACTTTCTTCTGAGACTGCGACATGGGGTTGAAGAGATATTTCAGGAAAGTTAGAAAGTTGTAGAATATTTGGAGGTTTACTTTCCTTGGGGACTCGAGAAATACGTATAATCTTACAATCCCTCTCTGTCTCTCAGTTTGAGATAGAATTCACACACAACAAAATGTATCTTGCACAAAGCCACACTATAGTGGTCTGCTACACTCACTAAGCCGCACAGTTATCACCACTGCCTACTTTTAGAACACTTTTATCCCTCTTCCAAAGAATCCTCCCGTCTACTAGCAGTCATTCCTCATACATCTCTGGCAATTGCGAATTACTTTCTGTCTCTATGAATCTGCCAATTCTGAATATTTCATGTGGGTGAAATTATATAATAAGTGGTCCTTTGTGATTAGTTTCTTTCACTTAGTATGTTTTCAAAGTTCATATTGTAGCATGCATCAGTATTTCGTTCCTTTTGTGGATGAGTAATTTCATTGTATGGATGTGCACACTTTGTTTCTTCATCAGCTGAGGTGATGGACATTTGGGTTGTTTCTGCTCTTACGAATTCTGCTGCTAACACATTCATGTGCAAGTGTTTGTGTGGACATACATTTTCAATTCTCTTGGAATTGAAATTCTCTTTAGATCTAGGAGTAGAATTTAATCTCTATCAGATTTTAATTTTAATCTCTATCAGAATCAGAGAATTCAATTCTCTTTAGATCTAGGAGTAGAATTTCTGTATCGTATAGCAACTCTGTGTTTAACCTTTGGGGGAACCGCTAGACTGTTTTCCAAAGTGATTGTACCATTTTACAATCCTATCTCCAAAAACTCTGTTATAGTTTATGTTGACTGAAATGGGTTTGCAGATGCTGATGATTTATTGAAGCTTCAGGCCTAATTTAGTCTGAAGTCCCAGAGGAATACCCAGTTTGAATTACAGGATTGGATTTACCATGGTCAGAAAAAGACCTTTTACAGTCTATGATATTGTGCCCTAAATATTCTGTAATAAAATCCAAAATATAATATGATCTTGGATTTGAGTTCTTGAGTAAGCACTGTGATATAGCACAGGAGGAACAGGTTATACTAGTGCCTAGGGATAGGGATTAACTAGAATTCCCTTAGAAGGGGATCCTGAGATAAGTGTTGGAGCCCAGGTAATCTCCCTGGGATGTGATTCTAGGAAACATAGGAAAGTGAGACAGAGATGGGAAGGAACAAGTAAAGGGTGTTATGAAGCAGGTTACTGCTGTGGGCAGTCGTTTGGGGAATGTGCAGTCCAGCACAGAACATAGCTTGGAGTTATTTGGACCTAGAGACCAGGGAGCCGGACACTTCTCAGTTCCTTTTGGGTAGAGGCTGCTTCTGGAGGGTGGACTCCCTAGGGCTTCTGGCTTTCCCAGCACACTGCTCAGCCCTGAGCTCACAGACACTGGTGGAGAGTTGCAGTGTGTGGCTACCCAGCCTTCAGCATGTGGAGGTGAATGCTGAGGGGTGGTGTGCGGTGACCCAACAACGTTCACTCTGGGACGCACTCAAATTCACCATGGGACCCACCTGAAGCGGTGCTCATGTCTAACCAGCCAGTGGCTACCTCCACCTTCAATGAGAAGTTTTGATCAAAATCTGCCATAAGGCTGTTTTTGTTGACTTAAAGCAATCAAAACTAGGACAAATAAAATCTTTTCCTAAACCCCTCCCTGTGATAGAAAACACAAAGCTTTCTGAACATGGGAAATAGCATATATATAATCTTTTCTCAAAAGATTGAAGTTGGAGGCATTTCTTTATGAAAGAAAAGAATGGAGCAATTGAAAGGCACTTGCTGAAGTAATCAGAGTTGAGAGGCAGGAATAGAAATGGAAATCAGAGTCTGCCTTAGACAACTTAGGGGATAATCAAGGGCTAGGAATTGTGCCAGTTCCCCGCAGACTCCACCGCTGGGCTCCACAGAGCCCTGGGTTTGTGTTTATCTTTAGACCCAGTGGAAGAGAGGCCTGTGGAGTGGCAGCTTCCAAATGCCACTGGAGACCAGAGTCACTGGGAGATAGAGATTAATAATATTAATCTGGGGTCTTGCCTCAGCATTTCCACGGAGAGGGGGACAGAGAAGCCGGGTTTTGACGAGGAGCCTGGGTGGTGATGAGTCAGACTTGGGGATTTCTGGTAGGAGAGAGTAAGTAATACTGCAGGTAAAGTTCTAGATGTTTTTGGAAAGAAACAAGAACATGGGCTCCTGCCTGCGCCCCTCCTGGCATATCCCATGGTCCTGTTAGAGGTTGCTGGTTTCTGCTTCACAGGCAGCCAGGCTCTTTTGTTTTGCCTCTGGCTAAGGTATCCTGGAGGAACGAATGAATTTTCATCCTTGGGGAGTCTGGGACTCCCAGACCTGTGAGGTCATCTATGAGGTACCACCTCAGACAAGTGAGGGAACAAATGACAGGCAGTCACCAGTTGAAAGGGATACAAAGGCAGTGATTTTAACTTGCGTCTCCCTGAAAACGCTGGCAGATTCTTAAATCTCCCCCTCACTTCCTGTCAGGCTTTCCTTGGTCAGGGTTACAAGCTGGATTTTATGCCCCCAAATCCATTACGTTGAAGCCCTAACCTCTAGTCCCTCAGAATGGGACCTTATTTGGAGACAGGGTCTTTGCAGGGGTCATGGAGTGAAAATGAGGCCACTGAGGTGAGCACAAACCAGTGTGAGGGGGAGAAGGGGAATCTGGAGGAAGACAGACCTATGTGGAGAATGCTGTCTACAAACCAAGGCAAGAGACGGGACCAGGCTCTTCTCTCACAGCCCTCACAACTTGGCTTTAGATTTCTAGCTTCCATAACTGAGACAGTGAACTTGTACAGTACAGCGGCCCTAGCGAGCAACTGTAGTTAGCTTCCTCCTGGAGGGGCTGCCTCTTGGGAGCCTCTCTGTCCTTGTTTATCTCTCCATTGTCACATCCTTTACTGGACTCTGAATCCCCAACTTCTCCCAAACTCCTGGAGTAGCTGTTAGAGTCCCTTTCTGCTCTTACCATCACCCCCTGCCATTTTTTCTCGCCCGGCCACCAACCTTTGCTTTGTAAACACACATCTGGTGACATCAAACCCCTGCTTAAAACATTTCTTTGGCTCCCTCATGTTTCCAGGATAAAGATCGAAATCCTTAGTTTCAAGTCCCAGTAGCTGAGCGTTGCCTGTCCTTTAGCTTTATCAAGGGCCACTCTTCATCCTCCCCTCCCCCCATGTTGGTAATCTTTCAGTTCTTAATTCATTGTTCCTCTCTCTCGGGGGTTCTGCCTGCAATGCTCTCCTTCCTCCCCTCCCTCTCCTAGACTATCCTCTTCCTCAGGTCATACAACTGCTGGGGAGTGATTGATCAGGTTGGGTCTGTTCTGTTGGATGCTTTCCTTACATCTGGCATCATCCTATCCAGCATCACATCTGGTAATGAGTAATGTGTATAATTGTTCTAAGAATGACATAGGAGCTCCAGATGACAGAAGGGAAATATTATAACTCCCAACTTGCTGGATGTCCAGTATGCCATGTTTGTATTCCCCAAAAATGAGGAATGAATTCTGAGGAACAATAGAGGTTAAGA